GGCTGGTAGCAGAGCTCCGTGTTGAAAATGCTGTGTCAAAGCCTCTTATTCCGAAAATCTTTGCTGTTGTTTTGGTAATTCAAGTCATGCAGACAAGAAAAAAAACCCTTATAAAAGAGAAACTTAGCAAAGTTGAGAAATAATTTTTGTACTGTTAAGACTGAAGCCAGTCAATAATTGCACTCTGCTCTCTGATTTCTGCATCATCACCTGCTTTCTTGCCAGCTTACTTAAAGACATCACCTCGACTTGGGATACCTTTGATGAGATGCTGACCCTAAGAGGTTTCTAAACCCTAACAGCTTAACAGCTGCTTGTTAGCCTGAGTATTGGCAGGGTAAATTGTCAGGGAGGTTTAGAAAATTGCGCAGGGGGCACCAGTGAAATTCTTGCCCAGGGCACGAAATTGGCCAGGGACGGCCCTATTTGTCCACACTGTATTTCTCAAGTGCAACAAGGAAGTTGCAAGTTTGTCTTTTTGGTGGAGTTTGCATGTTCTCCCTGTGCACACATTAGGTTTTCTCTGGGACCTCCAGTTTTCTCCCAAAACTGAAAAAACATGCACTGTGGATTTATTAGTAACTCTAAATTGTCCAAAGATGTGAGTCGGAGCATGATTGTTGGTCTCTTTTGTCTTTATGTGGCTCTGTGATGGACTTGCAATCTGTCGTGGGTGTCCCCTGCCTCTGACTGCTGGAGATAGGCACCAGCTCCTTGCAACCTGGGAGGAAGAAGCAGGTACAGGAAATAGATGGATGGATTTTCCAAGTGAAATTACTGAACTACAGGCATAATGCCTTTATCAAGTTTGAGTTGTTGGTCGAAAGTGACACCTACTGCCGCAGAACATCCATCCACATGAATTGAGTTCAATCTGCAAATCCCTAAAGTAACATGTGACGGTGATCTATGGCAGGTCAGAGGAAACAATAGTGCACAAGGAGGGACAGAGTAGATTGAAGAAGAAACCTTCCTCTGTTCATTATTCAACATAAAGGAGGAGGAGAGCTCCAGTGGGAGTGGACTTCCTGTGGAGAGAGGACTTGGGTTTGGAGACCTGCATGCACACAGCTGAGACAACCTGACAAGCTGCTTCACCACTCACATTAGCATTCTACAGTACATACTGTAAGAGAGGGGGAAGAGAGAGAGTGCAGGAGGTGTAAGAAGCAATATGCAGAGGTGAAGGAGAAAGGGAAATGTAGAATTGTGCTCAGAAAGGAGGAGCAAGGGGAAAAGGCGAGTAAAAAGGTAATTCAGGGAGACAGATGTGTGCGCTAAAAAGAATGGCAGGCCATGTGGAGCTTGTTCCTGATATTATTCAGAAGTTATTAAATATTTCATTAATTCCAAAGAGCACTTTGAAGGTGACCTGTTTGGCTCCTCTGCGTTGTTTTCACTAGATGAGAGCATCTTTTTTTTGTTTGAATCCTTATTTTTTAATTATTTTTTTGTTTGACACAAGCTTTGCTGTTTGCTGTGAGACATTTCACTGACAAGTTAACCTTGTGCAGTTGCCTGGAAAATAGTGTTGTACACACATTCATTAAACAAATTTTAATACAACTCTGCATACCTGTAAGAAAATGTCTTCCTTGTGATAACATTCTATCTAACTGGTACAAATCTATATGCAAATAACAGAAAATTGCACATTTATTATAATTTGATAAAATATTTTGTTCTCAAGCAATGGATGCTGTCATGGCAGAGATATTCTTCCTCTTTCAAAGGGTCGCTTTCTTATCTCTGAACAAAATCAAGTTCAGATCACTATTTCAATTTAGTCCAAAACATATTTAGAATTGATTCATTCTTATTATAAAACAATACATGCACACACAACATTACGAAAGACCATTTAGTAAAAGTTCTCTGGTCTATATTTTGACACAATCTCCCATTCTGAGCAACACATTGGTGGGGATGGAACAATTCACTTTTAACAAGCAGAAACTTCCAGCAGAAGAAAGAAACACAAACACAGTAATTGATCGAAGGTCAATTTCAGTTGACAGCAATAACTGCCTATAAACAGAGTAAAGAGAAGCAGAGTGAGGAAATGTGCTTGATTTGTCCTCTAGCAGTCAAATCCCAGAGCAGCATAATGCTACGTTCACACCGAACGTGTTTTGAGCAGCAAAAAAGCGCAAAACGCCTCAAGTTGGACGCACTATGTTCAGACCGGAATGAGAAGCAACAGCAGCGGCTGCAGCTGGGTGTGGGAGGAACGTCTGTCCTCAGCAGGTGAATTAAAAATAAAATAAAAGAAAATGGCTTTGATATATTTACTAAAGAGAAAGTGAATGTTGCGCACAGCACATAATTAACTCACCAGATGATTTAGAGACGATTTGTTCGGTTTCGTCTCTCCAGAAGCTGCCAGCTGACGGACTTTTTTTTTGTCCCGAGCAGCTGACCCACATCGATGCTGATATATCCTGCCAGAAAATCCAACTGCACACGGTCGATTTCAGGTAAAGATCTCCTGTCCATCTGTTTCGGTTTTCAGTGGGATACACGTGGAGCGGCGAAAAGTTCAGACTTTTTAACTCTGGCGGCTGCTTCTTCCGCAGCACCGCATGCGTGGAAAACACTCTGCGCCTCTTCCGCCTTCCTTGCGCGCCGCCGAAAACGTACGTGGCACGACGCACGACCCCTAGAGGCGCGTCCACCATAGACTTTGCATGTAAACCGGCCGCACCTGCCGCTCAAAGCGCGTTCGGTGTGAACGTACCATGACCAAGGCATAGCTCAGTAAACCCAAGCCAACTATAGCAAACTTATTTAATTTAAAGAGAAAATGGATTTAATTTAAGTTTTAAGCCTTCTTCGTTCAGTTTAGCAATTAAATCACCACAAAATTAACTTGCAAAGCAGTTTTTCAAAACTATTCAAGAAAATTTGTTTTATTTTTGTAGCTGAAGTTCAGACATTTTCTAATTTAAAAATACCATTTTCTAAAGGTGTTGGTGTTTGTAGTTGGAGTATGTCTTTACTCACAAAAATAGAAAATAAAAAAACTTCTGTATAGAGGTAATTTTTGTGCTTTTCTCTGCTATACTAGCCACTTTGTCAATCTGAATGACTGAGGCAAGTGTGTAATAAATGGTTATAAATGCATGAGTAATCCAGTGTAGAAGATGTGAGTAAGGAAAATGAGTGTGAGGCGTTCAGGTTCAGAGGTCTCGAAAAAGGCTGAGAATATTCAGAAATACTTAACAGTTTCCAATCGCACAGTGAAATCCCATGAGTTTTCTCAAATTCACAAACCTATTGGTGCTTCAGTTTCACAAAATATTTTCTCCAAGTGTTAGAGCCTGTGGGATACCTTGTTTATTGTACATGTTGCCTTTTTGGTCCATCAAGCTTTAGTTGGTGAGCTTGTCAGGTGCTATAAACTATTTTACTTTCCCAGGCTAGCAAACTTGCTTCTGTTCCGTATTTTTACATACAAATAATCTATTTTACATCTTGTAACAATTTTATATTGTCTTCTGCTACTTTGAAAGGTAACAGACATGATGCTTCAGGACCAGCACTACCCAGATTGGGGCAAAGCTGCAAGAAGGTTCTGGAAACGAGGCAACAACAGGATCGTCCTCTTCTGGTATGTCCTAAATTAAAAAAAAATTATCTATTTTCTTTTTCGCTAGATAATTTTAAGGCAATAAGATTTTCTTTGAGCTTGCCAAATGAATCATTGAAAAAGATATGATGCTCTGCAGAGTTGTGTGCGTTCCAGCGGCCTGTGGCAGGGTTGCGTGCAGTCAATAACCGTGTTAATCTGCCTTCAGTCAGTGTCAGCACCTTTAATTAGAGGAACAGGGTGAAAATCGATGGACACAGCAAGGTTGCAGGTTGCGACACAACCCTGCGTTCTACTTGTTCATACCACAAGCTGTGACCCTGAAATGAGTGGTAAACAAATGCTGCAAACTATGTCTGATTTGCCCATTATTTGTCAGATTAATAGATCCAATCCCTGATTATACCCGCTTTATCACTATTGCTCAGTCCCCAGTGGTGTTCAGTGAGTTACTACCGTCTTGTCAATCATTCTTGACACGTGAACGTGATCTCCTGGTAGGGTTGGGCATAATCGTATCGTGTGCAATTAATAGTCAGAAAAACATTTATCGATTACTTTTTGGCACTTGACGATTAATACAATTAATGCCACCAGGCAGAGTCCGCTTGGTGCTCCTCTCTGCTTCAGATATGATGAACGTAAAAACAGCAGGGTGGCTCAGTTGGTAGAGCCAATGCCTCTCAGCAAGAAGGTCACCGGTTCACCTTTCTGGGTAGAGTTTGCATGTTCTCTCCGTGCATGCATGGGTTCTCTCCGGGTACTCCGGCTTCCTCCCACAGACCAAAAACATGACTGTTAGGTTAATTGATAACTCTAAATTGTCCCTAGGTGTGAGTGAGAGAATGAATGGTTATTTGTCTCGTTTGTCTCTATGTGTGGCCCTGTGATGGACTTGCGACCTGTCCAGGGTGTACCCCACCCCTCACACTGTGACTGCTGGATATGGGCACCAGTGACCCACGCGACCCTGAAAAGGAAGAAGCGTGTACGGAAAATGGATGGATGGATGGATGGATGGATGGATGGATGGATGGATGGATGGGAAAAAAATCTGTAATTTATTTATCTACCAACACAATTTATAATTTGATGTATAGCCTGAAGTCTGTAATTTTGACACAATTTGGAACAGATTTTTACAAAGAGCAAATCTTTCCCACTAAATTGGTCATTTGACTAGGACATAAGGGTGTCCAGGGACTCCAAGGCATTAATCGTCAAATTAATCATTTTCGGCTAAATACCATAATTAATTGTGATTAATTTTTTTTGCCAATATTGCCCAACCCTATCTCCTGGGTTTCTTTTTTAGGTCACAGTGTGAAGTGAAGGACAAGTGAATAAGTCTGACAAGTGTTTAACATGTGCACACAGAACTAGAGGCGTTGACATATTAAACTTCAGAGAGCATTTGGCCACAAACCCTCAACGTTTTCTTGAGTGAAATTGATTCTCTTGCAATTAGAATTCAAGCAGATGAATTGTTCGGTGACTTTTCTGCAACCCTTCGTTTTATTGATGGACGTCCTGGCTCGCGCCGTCATAATCGATGCGAGATTTGACGAGCTATCATTTGGAATCCGGAGCTTGAAATGTGATTGATAAATGCTCAGCTGGAAGAGTCTCGTCAGTGGGCGCCGAAAAGGGCTGTGGCAGATTGTAAAGCACAGTGCCAAAAGATTTGGCAGCGTAGAGGAAAAGAATCATTCTGCAGAATATTAAAACCCTTAAAATTTATCTCCCAAACTCCTGGAATGGGATGTGGGTTGGCAGTCGCTATCTGCAGCGCAATAACCACTGTATGACATTGAGAGAAAAATACAAAGAGAAAATTAATACTTGGTCTCTGTGCTGCCCCTCGCTTTGCTGAAAATGTTTCCCAGAAAACAGGGAATTCAGGACACTTTGTGCAGAAACACCACAGCAATCACTGCGAGCCGCTTTGTGTTAGGTATGTAAATACATGGAAATGTGTGCGCGGAAGAGTTTGATTTCCATTCTTTCCGCATGTACAGCTAGACAAGGTTTACTTTTATGCACAGTCATCTTCAAACATGTAAACACCTTCAGTTGTCTACAGTACACTGACCTTCAGAAATCTGTAAAATTCACAAACAATCTGTATAACTCTCGTAAAACAAACTTTATTTACAGCAAAATAAATATAATGTTCAGTTCATCTATAAAACTGGAATATACACAACCTAATCCAGTAAATACCTCGCTAAAATAATAAGATAAGAAGAATTTGTGAAGAATTCATGGCCTTATGTGAGTATATTAAAGTGAACAATCATTGCAGTATTACATGTGTAAATACATAAAAAATATACAGCATGAAATAAATAAAAATAACAAATAAGATTTTCTTTCAACTGTAACACATCAGGTATGTTTTGTACGAGTACTTGTAAAAAGGCTTGTTTCGAGATTGGTACCACTTGTGAAAAATATAAATATATATTTTTCTGTTATTTACTATTTCAGCCCCTGATCAAAGTTTAAAGGACAGTCTTGAAAAAGCCAGTTGCATAATAACTTTCTTGCTATATTGGTTTTTGGGCCAGGTGGTAATAGTGGGAATCCCTGAAACAGGATGTTACATCATTGTTTTCGAAAAGCTCTAGAGTCCACAAAACTTCAAACTGAGCTTTAAAAAAATGGAAACTCTTGAAAATATATAAAAAAAAGTTTGCATCTGGACAGGTGGTGCAAACAGCAGAGAAATCTGTTTTGATGTCTGTTTTCCATGACGTCAGTCAGAGATATCTCTTTACCGTCCCTCCCCTCATCTCTCTTTTCTCCATTTCTCTCCCATCTTTTGATCTCATTTCTCTTCCTGTCCCTTCACTGTTAAGTCTTTTTTCTTTCTCTTCCTCTCTTATCTTTCAGGACCGTTCTCATCTCTCTAACCTCTGTGGTGGTTCTGGTCATCAGCACCGACTGGATCAGCTGGGACAACCTGAACCGAGGCTTCCTGCCCAGCGACGAGGTCTCCAGAGCCTTCCTAGCCTCCTTCATCTTGGTCTTCGACCTTCTCATTGTCATGCAGGTAGAAAGCTCCCGTGTGGCCAATTAAAAAAAATAAAATAAAAAAGGAGCTGCTGGGACACCTCTTGGCTCAGCCCTCTACCCATCTTGCCAGTTCCCCTTTTTTCCTATTCATCAATGGGTCCATTGCGGCACAAAGCTGCGAAAAGGGTGTTTGATGGCTCCGACTTGGCTTGGGCACAAATTCAGTCACATTTTTCCTTTTTTCCTCTTTTTTCCCTCCCCAGTCCTTTCCCCACTCCTAGGCCACGTTCCAGTGATTTTTCTCTCTTATGATTTTATTTTCCTGAATGATAACACCTCACAAGATTGTTTTTTTTTTCACCCTCTTATTTCCTTTTTTCTCACCAGCCAGTGTCCTCCCTCCAACAGGAGTGTGTTCATCAATACAGCTTCGGTCACTGACTCATGAATATGCAAATCTATTTGACTGAGCAGCAAAAAAGAAATATCTAACTTTTCTCTAAAGAGAAAATGTAGAGAAGGTTTTTTTTCTTTGGTTTTGTGTTGTTTATTCCAGTAGCAATGAGTCAGAACCACAGGGCAGGTCTGTCTGACTGTGAGCACAATTTAACACACAAATTCCAAACCCATAATGAACCTGTTTCACTTGGCCTTGTTAAGCAGACATTAGAATCCTCACCGCAAGGCTAGTATTTGTTATCACCTAAATATATGTTTCTAATCTGTTTATTATGTAAATTACAAAGAGGCAGTATTTTCATGAGAGCATGTCTGAGTGTTACAAATACACCACTCCACAGAAACCTGGGAAGGTCAGTGTCATAATTCCCACGTTAATATGTATTAATGCGGCCATACCAGGAAAAGTGATTTCCAGGCGGTATTTATTGAAACAATTTATTATTATAAGAGGGGAGCCCCTGGCTGCGCTGGTTGCTAATTACTTCACACTTTGGTCTTTTCCACATCCATTTACCAAATTATTGTGATTATGCAGATTTATTAAATTAGCTCGGCTTACATGGTTCAAACATATCCTCACACAGGTGCTTTCCTAGCTTTCAGCGTTCAGCCACGGACGTCATGTGGCATAAAGTCGAAACTCCCCCCTTCTCCTGCTGATCTGGACCTCCGCATGTTGGCGGTTCATCATTCTGCCCTTGCAGTGATTTGTTTACAACCCTACCCATTCACTGCGCGGTGTACAGCCAGTACATTTACGACAGTAATTTACGAGGCGAGCTAGCCGGCGTCGTTACAGGGCCCTTGCGCCACCGGCGCCCGTCTCTACGTTCCACCTGTCAATAAAAACTCATCCACCGCGTTTAACCCCCCCACCCAAGAGCTTCATTCACCTCCATCTTGGAGCACTGCCAAAGCCTCTCTCACATCTCCATGAGAAAAATGAGAGAAAGCGCTCTCAAGCCAATTAATCCTCCAATTAATGACCTGTCTGGATTTGCCTCGAAGCAGGGGTTTTGTGGTTTTTATTTTTTTATTTTTAATGATGTGCTGTGGGCGGCCCGGTGGCTCAGTTGGTAGAGCTGACGCCTCTCAGCAAGAAGGTCACCGGTTCAAATCCCGGTCCGGGGACCTTTCTGGGTAGAGTTTGCATGTTCTCTCCGTGCATGCGTGGGTTCTCYCCGGGTACTCCGGCTTCCTCCCACAGACCAAAAACATGACTGTTAGGTTAATTGATAACTCTAAATTGTCCCTAGGTGAGAGTGAGAGAGTGAATGGTTGTTTGTATCGTTTGTCTCTATGTGTGGCCCTGTGATGGACTTGCGACCTGTCCAGGGTGTACCCCACCCCTCGCACTGTGACTGCTGGATATGGGCACCAGTGACCCACGTGACCCTGAAAAGGAAGAAGCGTGTACAGAAAATGGATGGATGGATGGATGGATGGATGATGTGCTGTTTCTTTGCGTTTTCTCAGCCGTTTCTCAGATTTCTTTATGTATGTCAGAATCTACACATTTGCATAGGTGAATGCGTCTTGTTAGTATTTTCCCTCCGTATTTATCATAAAGATTCATTATTTTGTGGAAAATATGGTATTTGTCAGAAGGATTCAATATTTTGTGGGAGAAATGGTTTTAAAAGTGATGCCTGCTGGTGCTGCAACAATAAATACTGCAGCTATGGAAGAGGAGGGGACTTCATTAATATCCAAGGGAGCCATCATTAACTTGTTATGCTGTTCAGATAATGACTGAGGAGTTCCGCAATCTTAAGAGCTCGCAGAAGACACAGAAACATGTCGAGGAAAACGAAGCTTTTAGCTGTTAAATGCACACTATAAAGTTAGACAGGTTGTCTCTCTGCTACATTTTCCAGTGAATAAATTTTAGAGGAAATTTGTAGACTAAAATCTGTGCCAATGTTTGATTGATTATTGCTGTGCCAGTGCTGTGTTGAGATGTTACCCTTAAAAAGATCTGCTTTACCACCAGCTTCTCTATGTTTTACTCTGAACCTCTGTTGTTTTAAGCAACAGTATTAAAGTGCTAAAAGAAAAGCTCTAGATTTCTTTTTTTCTGTTTATTGTAGCAGGAGAAATGCGTGGCTGGAATTCTACTGTACTTAGATGGGGAAAAAACAAGGAAGCACATCAAAACACAACACGTGCCTGTCTGTGTGCTGGATTCTTTCTGTACTGACTTTACTTCTCCCCACATCCTCAGCACATTTCAATTTAATATATCAGTGAATAACATTTAAATCTCACAAATTCAAATTTAATACATAAAATTAGTTTATAAATTTTATATATGAAAAGCTTTGGCTAAGTTAAAACAGCATTTGATAATGTTACAGCTTTATTATTTTTTACTGTAAATCATTGTGTTAATTTCTCTCCTGCATCTAATAAGTAATACAAGTATTTACCACAACTTGCTGAAGTTTTAAGTAATAGTATCCTTACATGTTAAATATTCAGTTATGTTAAAAACATTAATATTAACATTTTATTTATTTATCGTACTGAAGCTGGTACTTCAAAACTGATTTCTATTTTCACTCGCAAGACTTTGTTTGAATTTATCTTTATGGTACACTATAAAAGCCAGAATGGACTGTTAGACTGCAACAAGCTAAAATAAAATTGTGGACCGTGACTGTCACGCACTGCCTGAACAAAGGCCAGAATGACAACACAAACAGCTTTATCAGGGATTGTCTTGCTTTATTTGTGATTCATGACTTTTCTTTTTCACGTTGCGACATTTGCAGCAATATATCGATAACAACCATTATTAAGGAAAATATAAATTCTAGATAATCTTAAGACCCCCTACTGGAAGTTTCATGACCAACAGAGTCCTGAATCCAACTTTCAGAACTACTGCCCTGAAAGATAATCCAGATTAATAATAATTCCTGGTGTTCGCCCTACATCTGCCCCTACATTTTGACACTTTATTTGAATCACAAGGGGATGAACAATGGGACAACAATATGAAGCCAACATGCCAATAATGATCATCTTTACATTGGCAGACACAATATTAGAATGCCTATGTGTGATATTCTTAATATATTACCAACAACAATAATACCAAATAATACTTTGGAATACACTAGACTCCAAATTACAGTAGATGTGATAATAGAGTATAAAAAAATCTAACTTTGGGTGTGTGTGTTTTTGTTTTGTTTTGTACTCACACAGCTCATACCTCTTCATTTTAAGCCTGCTCTTGAATATCCTCTGTTTATTTGGCTGTGTAGATTTAAGACCTCTGCATGGTTCATCCAAATCTGCTGAATCTGCTCTCACTGATGTAGTTGCGTGATAAAAAAATCCTGTAATTTTGTTCTCAGCCTTGTGTTCCACGCCAAACTTTTCCCCGCTTTAGCATACAGAGTTATTGTGTGATTGGTCAGAAGTTTGTGGGCGTGTTAGTTTAATGCTGAAAAGTGCTCAGACAGCAATGGCAGCATTTTTGCTTCAACTAATCCAGTTTTAGAAGCCAACTGTTGTATCGAAAACATACACTTATAAAGATAGTAAAAAAAAGCATAAATCCAGAGTGGCACTTTAACTGTGACAAATCTGTTGCCAAGCGAACTGTGGATTTCAGAGTGGAAATTCCAGCTGGAAGAAACCCCAAGCTGTGACACATACGCAGTGAGAGAGGTTTTACAGGAGCTCTGCTTTGTCTTCGTGTGTTGCGTTAGACTATGGAAGATGTGCGGTGACAGTGGAAGGTGAACTTCGTGACTGCACGTAGATTGTTCAGCTGCTTATCGACCATTCTTATGGGCTCGACACACGGGGAGCGTCAAATGACAGTGATTAATGGCTGTCATCGCAGCCAGGGTGAAACCCGACACACGGGACACGATAGCGACGGCAGCGTTGCGAATCGCTCTCTCGGGTCGCTTGCCTTCATGAAATTTGATTGTTTCTTCTACTGCCTATTGCAAAGGTTATTGGTGGTTCACAAAAAAGGGGGTGTGCATTACAGACGTGTAAACTAAACAAATCTTGCGATGCTAATGATATTGAAAAACAAACACACATCAAGATACAATTTTATGAGGAAAAAGTTACCGGATAACTTCACCCTGGCGCCAACAAAGTCCCACAAAGCTTTTTAGTAATCACTTGGTGAAGTGTTAGCTAACTGCAGTGTGTAGCATACTCTCCTCTCATTGGTCAGTCAATGAAACCCTCGCTGATTGGTTGTACGCTAAGCGACAGCGACAAAAGTTGAACATTTTTCAACTTTCATATGTCGCTTTGCAAGCTGGCGTGTGCACTTCTACGTGTACGAGCACGAAATTTCACATGCACTATTTTCGCTGGTCGCTTAGCTGGAGGAGGGCGAGCGATTGTCGCCTCACAGCACAGGCTCCATAGGAAATGAATGGAGAGCGAGCGACGTCGCCTCCCGTGTGTCGAGCCCTTTACTCCTACCATCACAAAACTGGAACATCTATATCTTTATGATGTGCTTGTGGGTAGGGGTGAGCGATTCTGGGAAATTTGATATCAGTCCGATATTAAGTAAACACAGGGTTTGAATGGCCAATAATCGCTGATACTTTTACTTGAAATTACTAAGAGGCTCTGAATTACTGTGTTTTTCATTTATTTGTTAAAAATAAAGTCATTAATACAAATATTGTGTGAACAAATGTATTTATTTATCATGTTAATATTGATCAGATATCTAGTCTCACTTTGTTATCGATTTTATTGATGCTTAGATTGACATGCCCACTCCTAATTGTGGGGTAAATTGGGATTTGACTTTAACTATATGTGTGCACTGATGCTTTCAGTTGAAATCTATGATTTCTCAAAGATTTCCTGTTTGTCTTAGCTAAAGTTATGAAATGTGACTTCTTGTGGAGCTTTTACTTTTCTTACTTTTTACATTCAAAGCATAAGTAATACCTCACTAAGAGCAAATATAGAGAAGTATTGGAGGTTCTCTGAATTTTTCGGAGAGAAATGGCCTACAGCAGTTTCCCTGCCTTTTGTAATGCATCTTGCAAGTGTTACAAAATTCAAAATCCAAGGACAAAGAGGTTGAGAGCCAAGCTTTACCTGCAGCGGCAGTGGAAATGTTCAAAGTGAATCTGATTATAGGAAGGCTTTTGCAACGTTTTAATCAAGTGGATGTAATATTTTCTTCTTTACTGCACAGTGGTAAGTCAAACTGTTCAAGATAAGAGCTGTGGATATTATGTTAGTTGCAACAGGATGTTTTGTCTGATCATGTATTAAAACCTTATTCCACAAATACTTGTATATTTGAATGTTTCGTTTTTGGATGTTGGATAACCGCTCTTGTTAATCACTAACTTTAGAAGTTTTTTATAACCTTTTGTTAATACCTTTTTAAATTTTTTGTTAATATCAATAAAGAGATTAGATAATTTGAGTTAGGTAAACCTCTTGATTCTGCAGTTTCAGATTTTTCTGATCTTTAAAAAGCAGGGAGTAGTCTACAGTACATGTTGGCTTTCATGGTTCGCTCATGGAACCGTAGCGCCCCACAGCTGGCAGAACTCATGCAGCCTCAAACATGACACTCCCGACACCATGCTTGGCTGTAGGCAAGACACTTTTGTCTTTGTACTCCTCACCGTGTTGCTGCCACACATGCTTGACACCATCTAAACCAAATAAGTTGATCTTGGTTTCATCAGACAACAGGACATGGTTCCAGTAACTCGACCACCACCACCACTTCAGTCTCAGCAGTAATGCTGGCAGCACTCATACGTCTGTTTTCAAAAGACAACTTCTGGATATGAGGTTAAACATGTGCACTTAACATGGTCGACCATGGCATGATCTGTTCTGAGTGGAACCTGTCCTTTTAAACCACTCTGTGTTAGCCGAGGCCATCTTTACATAGAGCAACAATTCTTTTTGTCCACATCTGCAGCAAGGTTTTTGCCATAAGGGGTCACAATAAATTTCCAGTGACCATTATGAACGAGTGTGAAAACAATAATAATTTAGCAAACTTTCACTTAGGGCTATACTCACTTTTGTTGCCGGCGAATTAGACATGTTATTTTGAGTGGATAGAACATTCACATTGTTAAACAAGCTGCACACTGACTAATTTACGTTGTACCAAAGTGTCATATCGTCAGTGTTATCCCATGAAAATATATAATAAAATATTTACAAACGTGAGAGGAGTGCTCAGTTTTGTGAGGTACTGGATTTATTTGGGTTTATTATAATGAATAGTTTCCCTTAACATATGATAAATAATAGTTTTTACATCAGGATCTTTAGTTTTACATTAATACACTACCTGCTGTCATTTAGTTCAGTTTAATTCATTAATTCATTTCATTAAAAATTAAAACTAAAAATTTTATACACAATAAAAAGAAAAAAATCACACTTGAAATGAAAGGAAGCAGAAAGAAGAAAAAAATCTTATATCTGGGTTTATTATAATGAATAGTTTCCCTTAACATA